TCCTATTTTTCATTCCAGACCTGTTTAGGCTTATAGTATCTTAGAAATCGATTTCTTTCTTCATAGAAACAATTAAATTCCTCGAATTGAAACACTGTGAAGCATTTGATAAATTCACAACTAACCCACAAATTGAAATTGAAAATTAGACGTCATTTTGTTCCTTCCAAGACCATTATCAAGCCTCAAGGTACTGGATCTTCATGGAAATCCTGCTTTGAGATCCTGCTGGAAGTACCACCGCTGGAAGATCACAGACAACAATTCTTTCCTTGTGGCAACTTACTCCATGAGAACCACACTGGAAATCTAATAATCCGAGAAAACATGCTTTATGGCCCCATTCCGTTAAGCTGAATTGTTATTCCACTTCCTCAGAGGCATATTGCCCTCTCACATGATCATATTATCTTCTTGATAAACTATCGCAAATTATTCTTTGGATATTGCTAGTCCTTGGAAATTATCCACGTAAAAATGTCTCTCCATAAATTGCTTAAATAAACTGGATGAATTATTAATTTCCTTACGAGAAGCGCCTTTGCTGTTGGTGAAAACGTATTTCTTCAGGAATCTGGAACCGTTCCTCCCCTCTTTCTCGGATCAAATCTAATTTCCTCCCATTTCCTCAGGCGCTATATAGCCCTTGTGGATTTAGTGCTTCCCCATGAATACAAGGAGGTAAAATAATAATAATAATAATAATAATAATCTTTATTTCTACAAGTACATGATACAACTTATACAGACCATAGCTGACATCAATGACATACTACTATATAGAAAGCCCCTTGCTGTGCACAGCATTCTGGGCAAATTAGGTCAATTTTGTCCCCAGGATGCAACCCACACCAGTCGACTAACACCCAGGTACCTATATTACTGATGGGTGAACATTGGCCAGCAGTTGTCTTAAGGAAACACGTCGAAATGTTTCCACCAGTGCCGTAGATCGAACCACGGACCTCAGTGTTTGAGCTGAGTGTGCTGCCAATATAATTTGTACGTTGTGAAGATGGTGAGCTTCGTGTTAGAAGCTCCACTGGTGAGCTCACTTCATGACCCATCTATTATTATTCTAAATTTTTAAATGATAAATGAAAAACGGAACACTGAATAAGTATTTTGATTTATAATAAGGTGAGTGAATGAGTGAGTCCTGGAGTGATGGAATGTGTGAATGAGTGAGTCCTGGAGTGATGGAATGTGTGAATGAGTGAGTCCTGGAGTGATGGAATGTGTGAATGAGTGAGTCCTGGAGTGATGGAATGTGTGAATGAGTGAGTCCTGGAGTGATGGAATGTGTGAATGAGTGAGTCCTGGAGTGATGGAATGTGTGAATGAGTGAGTCCTGGAGTGATGGAATGTGTGAATGAGTGAGTCCTGGAGTGATGGAATGTGTGAATGAGTGAGTCCTGGAGAGATGGAATGTGTGAATGAGTGAGTCCTGGAGTGATGGAATGTGTGAATGAGTAAGTCCTGGAGTGATGGAATGTGTGAATGAGTGAGTCCTGGAGTGATGGAATGTGTGAATGAGTGAGTCCTGGAATGATGGAATGTGTGAATGAGTGAGTACTGGAGTGATGGAATGTGTGAATGAGTGAGTCCTGGAATGATGGAATGTGTGAATGAGTGAGTACTGGAGTGATGGAATGTGTGAATGAGTGAGTCCTGGAATGATGGAATGAGTGAATGAGTGAGTCCTGGAATGATGGAATGTGTGAATGAGAGAGTTCTGGAGTGATGGAATGTGTGAATGAGTGAGTCCTGGAATGATGGAATGTGTGAATGAGTGAGTCCTAGAGTGATGGAATGTGTGAACGAGTGAGGAGAAGTGAATGAGTGAGCGAGATAATGCATGAGTGTATGAACGCATGAATGAGTAAGTCAGTAAAAGAGTGAATGAGCGAGCTAATGAGAGTCAATCCAGAGATATACACAGTGGAACCTTCCAGCCTACTGCTGCTGGTTCACCTCACGTCTCACACCGACTCTCATGTTTACCCTGATCACCTCACATCCACCCTACTGTCTTGTTTACTCTTCGTGAGTTAACACAAGACAGTCAATCACTTTCACTTCCTCTAACCATATGGCTTCACTTTAAGCCTATCTCGTACACATAATTAAAACAAAGATTTCCGCAAAAAGTTAACTCGACGATTATCTTTTGCGGTTTAGCATTCTTGAAACGTTAATCGTTACGTAACTAGTTTCTGGCTGGACCAGTGACAGGAATTATCAGACTTGTGCTTCGGAGTCTGTTATTTAAGGTCATGCCGTGACCTTTCATGTGGGTTAACGTGGGGAGCAGTTAAGATGTGTATTGACCTGGCTGACCTCCGTCGTGTGCCGGAGATGATCACTATATGGCAGGAGATGACGGGAAATGACAAACCAGGGGGACACTTGAGTCAATATTGTTTTGGGTTATAGGAGAGAATTCAGCGATTGGTGTGTTATCATGGATGGGAAGATGGGATTAAATGCACACACACACACACACACACACACACACACACACACACACACACACAGGAATTGACAAGGTGGACAAAAACAGAATGTTCCAGAGATTGGACACAGCAACAAGGGGACACAGTTGGAAATTGAAGACACGGATGAATCACAGGGATGTTAGGAAGTATTTCTTCAGTCACAGAGTAGGCAGAAAGTGGAATAGTTTGGGAAGCTATGTAGTGGAGGCAGGATCCATTCATAGCTTTAAGCAGAGGTATGATAAAGCTCATGGTGCAGGAAGAGTGATCCAGTAGCGGCCAGTGAAGAGGCCAGCATTTAAATTTTCCAAATTATGTAAATAAAATCGGCACCTACGCTGCCCAAAACCGTTGAAAATCTTTGTCTATATATGACATAAAACCATTTAGGGTTTGATACCAACCACAAATGTCATTCTCTAGGTACTGCACGAAAACCAATGTTTCCTTGAAGTTTACCATCAGTAGGCGTTTGAAGCTTATCTGTAGAGTCATTCTCCAGCTAAAGCTCAGAATCCAACAATTTCAAGTTCATTATGTGAGTAAATTGGCAAAGTTGCAGTTCGGGAGAGGCATTCTCGAGATATCTAAATGTTAAAAATCACTCACTCCCCATTCTAAAATTTAATTGACAGAGTGGCACCTACACGCTCCATTAACAAACCCAACCTTATTCTAGGTATGTCATACCAGTGATGAAAGTTTGAAGCCGATCAGAAAAGGCTTTCTCGAGTTACAAGAAAAACCCTTGGAGGAAGAAATAAACTACTAACCAATTGATAATAATATTAATAAGAATAAGAATAATAATACCAACAACAACAACAATAACAACAACAACAACAACAATAACAATAACAACAACAACAACAACAACAACAACAATAATAATAATAATAATAATAGCAAGGATGTGATGTCATCATTGTTGTTCAGTATATTTATAGATGGAGTTGTAAGAGAAGTGAATGCTCGGGTGTTGGCAAGAGGTGTGGGGCTGAAAGATAAAGAATCTAACACAAAGTGGGAGTTGTCACAGTTGCTTTTTGCTGATGACACTGTGCTTTTGGGACATTCTGGAGAGAAGTTGCTGAGGTTGGTGGATGCGTTTGGTAGGGTATGTAAAAGAAGAAAATTGAAAGTGAATATAGGAAAGAGTAAGTTAATGGGGATAATAAAAAAATTAGGTAACGAAAGATTGGATATTAGATTGGAGGGAGAGAGTATGGAGGAGGTGAATGTATTCAGATATTTAGAAGTGGACGTGTCAGCAGATGGGTCTATGAAAGATGAGGTGAATCATAGAATTAACGAAAGGAAGAAGGTGAGTGGTGCACCGAGGAGTCTGTGGAGACAAAGAACATTTCCATGGAGGCAAGGAAGGAAATGTATGAAAGTGTAGCTATACCAACGCTATTATATGGGTGTGAAGCATGGGTTGTGAATGTTGCAACAAGGAGAAGGCTGGAGGCAGTGGAGATGTCATGTCTGAGGGCAATGTGTGGTGTGAATATAATGCAGAGAATCCGTAGTTTGGAGATTAGAAGGAGGTGCGGGATTTCCAAAACTATTATCCAAAGGGCTGAGAAGGGGTTATTGAGATGGTTTGGACATGTAGAGAGGATGAAACGAAATAGATTGACTTCGAGAATGTATAGATCTGAAGTGGAGGAAAGGCGGGGTAGGAGTCAGCCTAGGAAAGGTTGGAGGGAGGGGGTAAAGGAGGTTTTGTGTGCGAGGAGCTTGGGCATGCATGCGTGTGCGTGTTAGATAGGAGCGAATGGAGGCAAATGGTTTTTAATACTTGACGCGCTGTTGGAGTGTGAGCAAAGTAACATTTATGAAGGGGTTCAGGGAAACCGGCAGGCCGGACTTGAGTCCTGGAGATGGGAAGTACAGTGCCTGCACTCTGAAGGAGGGGTGTTAATGTTGCAGTTTAAAAACTGTAGTGTAAAGCACCCTTCTGGCAAGACAGTGATGGAGTGAATGATGGTGAAAGTTTTTCTTATTCGGGCCACCCTGCCTTGGTGGGAAACGGCCGATGTGTTAATAAAAATAAAAAAAATATAATACCAATAATAATAATAATAATAATAATAATACCAACAATAATAATAATAAATACCAGCAATAATAATAATAATGCCAAAACAACAACAACAACAACAACAACAACAACAATAATAATAATAATAATAATAATAATAATAATAATAATAATAACAATAATAATAATAATAATAATAATAATAATAATAATAATAATAATAATAATAATAATAATAATAATAATAAATAATAATAATAATAATAATAACAATAATAATAATAATAACAATAATATAATAATAATAATATTAATTAATAATAATAATAATAATAATAATAATAATAATAATAATAATAATAATAATAATAATAATAATAATAATAATAATAATCCCAACATATTTGTATTAGCCTCTTAGGAAAGTCTACTAACCAGTGTCTCCTCTGCTACAGTTCCCATGGCTCGCATCCTGGGGTCCGCTGAACGTTACGTTGATAGAGGCTCGACTATCAACCTCACCTGCATCATCAACTTCAACCCAGAGTCACCCACAGAGAACTTCTGGTTCCACAACAACAAGGTGAGAGAGAGAGAGAGAGAGAGAGAGAGAGAGAGAGAGAGAGAGAGAGAGAGAGAGAGAGAGAGAGAGAGAGAGAGAGAGAGAGAGAGAGAGAGAGAGGAGAGATACACCTGTAATCAACCTTCACGTAACCCACAAAAAAATTCTATCTCCACTGTGAAAGTTCTACCAACAAAAGTAATTAATAAAACTTTTCGAAGTCATTGACACGTTGGTAACCCCTTCACGTCCCCTGAACCACTGGTGCCCCGATATATCACTGTTATCCCACTGGTATCCCACTGGTAATCCCACTGTATCACTGGTATCTCATTGGTATCCAACTAGCAATCCCACTGTATCACTGGTATCCCATTGGTATCCCACTGTATCACTGGTATACCACTGGCATCCCACTGTACCTCAGTGAGACAGGAGACCTCACCACAACCCTGCAAACTACAATTCTTTTCCTCCTTCACTCCTCTCCTGATCAACCAGCCTGTTGGTACTAACCATTTGCAGGCCCATACAGCCACCGCAGCCTCACGGATCATACACCACAACATATGCAATATACTAACATATGAATAAATCTCCCACACATGTATGACAGATGCCCATGTGCCAAACTTGAGTGAAAAGCCTGTGTCAGCCTCGGCTGGACACGCTGTGTTGTAGAACCTTCTGTGTTATAGACACGCTGTGTTGTAGAACCTTCTGTGTTGTAGACACGCTGTGTTGTAGAACATTCTGTGTTGTAGACACGCTGTGTTGTAGAACATTCTGTGTTGTAGACACGCTGTGTTGTAGAACATTCTGTGTTGTAGACACGCTGTGTTGTAGAACCTTCTGTGTTGTAGACACGCTGTGTTGTAGAACCTTCTGTGTTGTAGACACGCTGTGTTGTAGAACATTCTGTGTTGTAGACACGCTGTGTTGTAGAACATTCTGTGTTGTAGACACGCTGTGTTGTAGAACATTCTGTGTTGTAGACACGCTGTGTTGTAGAACATTCTGTGTTGTAGACACGCTGTGTTGTAAACACGCTGTGTTGTAGAACATTCTGCGTTGTAGACACGCTGTGTTGTAGAACATTCTGTGTTGTAGACACGCTGTGTTGTAGAACATTCTGTGTTGTAGACACGCTGTGTTGTAGAACATTCTGTGTTGTAGACACGCTGTGTTGTAGAACATTCTGTGTTGTAGACACGCTGTGTTGTAGAACATTCTGTGTTGTAGACACGCTGTGTTGTAGAACATTCTGTGTTGTAGACACGCTGTGTTGTAGACACGCTGTGTTGTAGAACATTCTATGTTGTAGACACGCTGTGTTGTAGAACATTCTGTGTTGTAGACACGCTGTGTTGTAGAACATTCTGTGTTGTAGACACGCTGTGTTGTAGAACATTCTGTGTTGTAGACACGCTGTGTTGTAGAACATTCTGTGTTGTAGACACGCTGTGTTGTAGAACATTCAGTGTTGTAGACACGCTGTGTTGTAGAACATTCTGTGCTGTAGACACGCTGTGTTGTAGAACATTCTATGTTGTAGACACGCTGTGTTGTAGAACATTCTGTGTTGTAGACACGCTGTGTTGTAGAACATTCTGTGTTGTAGACACGCTGTGTTGTAGACACGCTGTGTTGTAGAACATTCTGTGTTGTAGACACGCACGCTGTGTTGTAGAACATTCTGTGTTGTAGACACGCTGTGTTGTAGACACGCTGTGTTGTAGAACATTCTGTGTTGTAGACACGCTGTGTTGTAGAACATTCTGTGTTGTAGACACGATGTGTTGTAGAACATTCTGTGTTGTAGACACGCTGTGTTGTAGAACATTCTGTGTTGTAGACACGCTGTGTTGTAGAACATTCTGTGTTGTAGACACGCTGTGTTGTAGACACGCTGTGTTGTAGAACATTCTGTGTTGCAGACACGCTGTTGTAGAACATTCTGTGTTGTAGACATGCTGTGTTGTAGAACATTCTGTGTTGTAGACACGCTGTGTAGTAGACACGGTGTGTTGTAGAACATTCTGTGTAGTAGACACGCTGTGTTGTAGACACGCTGTGTTGTAGAACATTCTGTGTTGCAGAGACGCTGTTGTAGAACATTCTGTGTTGTAGACACCCTGTGTTGTAGAACATTCTGTGTTGTAGACACGTTGTGTTGTAGAACATTCTGTGTTGTAGACACGCTGTGTTGTAGAACATTCTGTGTTGTAGACACGCTGTGTTGTAGAGCTTTCTGTGTTGTAGACACGCTGTGTTGTACAACACGCTGTGTTGTAGACACGCTGTGTTGTAGACACGCTGTGTTGTAGAACATTCTATGTTGTAGACACGCTGTGTCGTAGAACATTCTGTGTTGTAGACACGCTGTGTTGTAGAACATTTTGTGTTGTAGACACGCTGTGTTGTAGACACGCTGTGTTGTAGAACATTCTGTGTTGTAGACACGCTGTGTTGTAGAACATTCTGTGTTGTAGACACGCTGTGTTGTAGAACCTTCTGTGTTGTAGACACGCTGTGTTGTAGAACCTTCTGTGTTGTAGACACGCTGTGTTGTAGAACATTCTGTGTTGTAGACACGCTGTGTTGTAGAACTTTCTGTGTTGTAGACACGATGTGTTGTAGGACATTCTGTGTTGTAGACACGCTGTGTTGTAGAACATTCTGTGTTGTAGACACGCTGTGTTGTAGACACGCTGTTTGTAACGTGTGTTGTAGAACCTGTGTTGTAGACACGCTGTGTTGTAGAGGTCTGAGCACATCTCAGACCTCTGCAACACAAATGTTCTCAAAGATTTGTTAAGTTATACCATAAATTAAGAAAAAATCCTGGACTTGACCTTACGAAACAGACGAAGCAACTGTGATAGTGGCCCCGTGGCCCGGTGGCCCGGTGGCCTGGTGGCTGAAGCTCCCGCTTCACACACTGAGGGCCCGGGTTCGATTCCCGACGGGTGGAAACATTTCGACACGTTTCCTTACGCCTGTTGTCCTGTTCACCTAGCAGCAAATAGGTACCTGGGTGTTAGTGGACTGGTGTGGGTGGCATCCTGGGGTACAAGATTAAGGACCACAATGGAAATAAGTTAGACAGTCCTCGATGACGCACTGACTTTCTTGGGTTATCCTGGGTGGCTAACCCTCCGGGGTTAAAAATCCGAACGAAATCTTGTCTTATGGACAAGGTAGATTATAGTGGAAAAATAAACATGTTATCAGAAGACAGGGGTAATTAGGTGCCTCTTAAGTAACAGTTGTAGTCTACGGTTTTAAAGCGCCAGAAAGTCACTAAGCTTTTAAAGTTGCAGTAGCTGCTGCAACAACTCGCAGTGAAATGCTTTACGATGCCTTCCCCGCACTACTGAAGTCTCCCAGCTCAAGCTGGTGCGTCTCCTGACCCCGTACATGAGACAGCTTTTGCGTTATGCAGGAGGATAGGGAAACAAAGCTGGTGTTTCTTCCCGTAATGTATGGAACAACTCTGCTTATTTCTGTGTATGATCGAATCTTTATATCCAACAATGTATCGTGGAAAATATAAAGTACTTTACTTTGCTTTATTTTACTTTGCAACTCTGTGAAGGGGGGGTAATCCACCCCCCTTCCTTCACATTACATACAAGGCAAAAAAAATAAAAGGCATTAATTTTAGTTTCGAAGCCGATTAAAAAAAGTTGGATGATAGATGAACATGCTGTCAAATACAATAGTTTCCCCTAAAAGAAAATCGGCAGGCTCAAAAGAAAATGTTGACGGGGTAACTCAAGCAAGCTTGTGACATTAATAACTGTCGCAGCGAGTATAGGATACGCTACAGCACACTACAACACCTTGCTTCACCGCCAGTTTCATGCACCCGGGAAAGAGAGAGAGAGAGAGAGAGAGAGAGAGAGAGAGAGAGAGAGAAAGAGAGAGAAAGAGAGAGAGAGAGAGGGAGGGAGGGAGGGAGACCTATATGCAGGCAGCCAGGAAGTGGAGCATACTCAAGGTGTGAGCCTCACACCTTGAGTATGCTCCACTTTCTTGGTTTGCCTGCCCCCCCCCTCTCATCTGCGACTGCTTGACAGAGTAGAGAACAGAGCAAGACGTCTCATCTCTTTCCTGGACTCATCCTGGATAGATCTATCATTTCAGCAGAGCCTTCAACATAGGAGGGATGTGGGTGGCCTTACTGTTATGTACAAGGCCAATATTGCCAAAGTACCACACTTGGATCCACTTCGAGGACAGCGTGAAACAAGCTTTTATGCCACAAGACGGGCAGAAAGCAGCAACTTCACCCTGGCTGTACCCTTCTCCAGAACATCACTCCATCTGAGATCATACATACCCAGGTTGACTCGAGTATGGAACACATTCGTACAGCATAATGATGTCAACGAGATAAAGTCAGTTGATCAAATGAAAATGCTGGCCCACAGATGGCTCCAACTTCATCCTGTTCCCTACTTGTATGTCTCATAGCAATAAAAATGCTTTCAAATGAGCTGATGTAGGTAACAGCTCTTAGCTTGTCAATAAAGCTAGGAATCCTTAACCTGTAAATAGCCTGTCAATAAAGCTAGGAATCCTTAACCTGTAAATAGCCTGTCAATAAAGCTAGGAATCCTTAACTTGTAAATAGCCTGTTAATAAAGCTAGGAATCCTTAACCTGTAAATAGCCTGTCAATAAAGCTAGGAATCCTTAACCTGTAAATAGCTTGTCAATAAAGCTACGGGTCTTTAACCTTGTCAAACCCTGTGTAAAAAAAGAGGTGGTTATTTAGTGGAAGGTGGTGGCTGCACACACAGTGCTCAGTCCACTCTCATGATGCAGCGTTCATTGTCTAACGCATTTAGTTGCGTCGTTATTTTTTCTGAATGAACAACGCCACCGGATTAGTCCAAAACTTAGTTTCGACAAAGTTATTTTAGTTTAGTTGTTAATAGTTGAATTAGAAAATGTAGGAGGGTTTCAACGGTAGGATAAACTGATGAAGAATCTCTGGCTTCACCTAATTCATCAGTAATCGAATACTCATCATGAACACTAGTGAGGATAATATGTTAGGTGAGACACAAGTAAATAAGTAGGTTCTTAAATAAGTAAATGAGGAAGTAATTGATTGATCACATTTCTTATTATTATTAAAGATTTGCAGGTATTCTCCCGGCCCGGGCCTTTTCCAAGTGGTGGCCCGGCCTTGGCTCCCTGTCTAGGGAGTGTCTGAGACCTAAGTCTCCCATGGGAGGAGGTACAAGTACCCCCTCATCTTTGGGACCACTGTTCCCAGGCCTAGCCACGGTCCCCGCCCTCACGGGGTTCGTAATGAGAAGCTAGGCCTCTGGTCTGCCATCCCCGCCCCAAGGGGGCTAATGGGAATGGCAGGCCTGTGAGCTGCAAGCTCGGGCTCAGGCACCTACCCTACCCTAGAAAGGCAGGGTAGGTGCCTGATTAGTGAGGTAGAGAGGCAGGGTAGATGTTGGCTTGGGTTGGCGGCTTGCAACACATTGTTCCTCTGCTCAACACCTACGTTGTGGAGAAACCGACCAAGAAGTTTCTTGGCTTGATTCTCAGCCATAGTGCAGAAGCCATTATTCTGTTTGACATTGTCGAATAACCGTGATGAACGCTGCTTCTAGGCGCCTACCTCTCTGAGTGTCTTCCCAGGCAAGGAGCAGTGCGTATAGTTAACCAAGTGGGTATGGGAATGAAGCGCAGTTGTCATCCAAGGCGGCCAACCTGCAGGCGAAATGCGATCCAGAAATGGGTTTGTGAAGGTTGTTGCAGGTTGTTGCAGGTTGTTGCAGTGTTGCAAAATATGCGTATAAAAAACGCTCCATATATAATGTTAGTTTACGAGATTAATTCTGAAATCAGACATTATATATTCATCGTTTTTTTATATACACATATTTTATAACATTGCGTAATATTTAGTAAGGTTATTCAGGTACAAGTACACATAAATACATTACCTAGGATAACCCAAGAAAGTTGGACAAAGTGACAAATTTCTATTGGAGGCCTTGGCGTATTTTAACGCAGTTATTGCAAGGGATTGTGCATCTTGCTGCTTAGGAATATAACATTGCATGAGCTAGGTCTGCAATGAGACATTACGGGATCTAGACTTGCAATAAACCATTACAATATCCAGACTTGCAATAAAACATTATAATATTCAGACTTGTAAAAAAAACATTACAAGATCCAATCTTGCAATAAAATATTACAAGATATAGACTTGCAATAAAATATTACAAGATCCAGACTTGCAATCAAATATTACAAGATCCAGACTTGCAATAAACATTACAAGATCCAGACTTGCAATAAAATATTACAAGATCCAAACTTGCAATAAAGCACTTCAAGATCCAGGAATACAATAAAACATTGCAAGACTCAGATCTGCAATAAAGTGTTGCAAAATACAGGCATGCAAATAGGCATTGTCAGAGCTAAAATGTTTCTTGCCAGAGGCAGGAATTATCATCCCTAATAATTATCCCCCAGTCATCATTCCCTAATCATCATTCTCTAATCATCATCCTCAATTATCCCAAATCATCATTCCTTAATCATTCCCTAGTCATCATTTCTTAATCCTACTCTATTCATTCCCTGATGATTCCTTAATCATCATTCCCTAAATATCATTCCCTAATCATCATTCCTGAACCATCATCCCTTAATCATTATTCCTAATTAGCAGAGCCCTTAAGGGATTCTTCAAGTAAATTTAGGGAGAAAAAGCAAGTCAGTTTTTCAACGTCTTTTAGCAGGAATTTACAAACGATTTTTGTATAAGAGTTGTTACCATATTATTCTCCAATTATCTATTAGAATTACGCCATTAAAATTTACTGAAATTATCGTATTATACAATTACCTGAATTTTATCCGCGAAGGTGAATTTTGGAACATCAAAGGATTTGACCCGCCGGAAGTGGCCCTTCCCTCCCCCCCCCCTCCCACACGAGGGTTTAGCGCTTCTTCTGTTTAGATGCAATTTACGTTAATAATTGAGCGAACGAAGATAATCGTGCGTATTTTTAATTATTAAAATTTGAGAATAGTTGGTCCAATTTTTTACGCGAGAGGCACTTGATCCAAGGAATTGGGGCTGCTTTTTTCCTCCTTTCCTTGGGTCAAAATTTGTTGTTTTCTCCTCTCCATGCCCCTTTACCCATACTCTGTATGGCCCATACAGATTTAGCGTTTCCCATGAATATAGTAATATTAAGAATAATAAAAAATGATAATCGTAATAACAATAATAATAATAATAATAAATAAACAATAATAATAATAGCTATAATAATAATTATGATAATAATAAACAATTTTAATAATAATAATATTAAATAATAATAATAATTATGATAATAATAACATTTTAGTACAGTGGTCCTTCAATGTCCATGAGAACATTATGTTGGACCACTGGAATATTGTCCAGTTAGGTTAATGGTGCAAATCAGTTTTCTCAGTAAGACGCCATCAAGGCTTCTGACACAATGGAATGACTCAGTATCGTCAGCCTCGAAGGTAACAATTCTTCTCAATTTCCACGAGTGGATGCCTTGCTTGAGAGAGGGAAAAAAAAGAGAAGAGCGCATTAGAATGCAAATTCTGGAGCATCGACGGAATGAATTCTGGCGATACTTTCCATAGGTGATCAAGACAAGTCCACCACTCACGGCTGGTGTTAGCAGTGTGCGAGTGGTCTTGCGGGAGAAATTCTTGGGTCTGGAAAGTGCGTGGGTCTGGAATGTGCGTGGGCGGATCAAGATATGTACTAGCAGTCAACCTTGTAGAAATCTTGAGCTAGCACTACTGGGAGTTACCTAAAACTTTCAGCACGTTGAAGTCAGGTACCCTGTGCTATTTACGTCAGCTCATTATTTGTCAAACTGGATTTTCGTGCTTGTTGCACATTGAGCTCAAACGAAAGATTCGGCTGCCAGTCTTTTCGTGTGTGTTGCACATTAACACTGAAGACTCGGCTGGTAGTGTAATGTCAAGTTCTACTTCAGATACTGAAAAACTTGCCAGTAAGAATGGAAACGAAAAATCGTAAGTAGTCAGTTTTATACCGTGATGTTAGCTGTGTATTATTTTTTTATCATTTCTTAGGAAAAAATGAAGGAAATCTGACTGGCCTGGTAGTCCGTGGCTTACTGGTCCATAACCTGGTAGTCCGTGGCTTGTTGGTCCGTGGCCTGTTGGTCCGTGGCGTGTTAGACCGTGGACGGGAACGAGTTGAGATCCACTGCCGTAGACTCTCAATATTTAATTACTAATCTCTGTAAAGTCTCTGTAACATCTCTCTAACCTGCTAACACCTTAGCATTCTTCTAATACATCTAACAACGCTCTAAGAATCCTCACTAACAACCCTCTACCATCTTGTATTATCCAAATTTACACATGCTGAATATATAAAAAATCTAAAATTTTCCACGTATCCTCCAGCACATTCCTAGCAATCCTCTTCTAGCTAAAATCCAATACTAACTTCTTAAAAAAAACTCTGCTAACACTCTTCCTAACCTTCCTAACCAGCTCACTACACTTCCTAACTTTCCAACCCCATCCTAACTTGCTAACCTTCTAGCAAAACTCTTTTAACCCTCTAATTGCTCCTCCTAACTTGCTAACTCCCTCGTCTATCCCCTAACTATTCTTTATAACCTGTTAACTAACCATTCTAACCCCCCTAACTACCTCATCTAACCCCTACTTATCCTGGTCTCCTAACTGCTTCCTTAATGACCACTTGTAGCTTTAACTGAGGCTATATGAGCCTACAGACTACGTCAACCCTCCACTATATTCCTAACCTTCTAACAGCCTTCTAACACCTTTCAACCATATCCTAATTCTTTAACCCTGTCAACAATCCCGCCCATCCCTAGGCAGCTCTAACTACTTACTAGATATTAACTGCCGCAATCCTTCCGTATCTTACTAACTTAGCAGCATCCCTAACCTCATTTAAATCGTCTAACCCTCAAATTATCCTAACCTCAAACTACCTCTGTCAACAACCCAACATAGCCCTGGACGGCACTAACAAGCCCTAACTACTTACAGGAGAGTAAGTACGATAGCACTGGCATGTACTTCTCCCTTTCTAACAAGTCTCCTAATACCTACAAACCTTTTCTAACACATTAATTGCGCCTTTAATCCCCCTTTTAACAAGAACCACGGCCCTGGACGGCAATCCTTAATTACGTACTAACAACCCTTAACTACCTCTATAACTAGAACCACAGTCCTAGGTGGCACTAACAGCCTTCAACGTCCTACCCAGGTGGTTACCTACGACAATTCTGGCATATTTCGTTTCCTGCTAACAAGCCTAATACGTTATAACCTTTTCCTAATATTTTCCTAACCCTTTTCCTAACCCTTTCAACAAGACCCATAGTTTTAACCGGCACTAACAACCCTTAATTACTCTTAATTACCCTACTAGACAGATCCACAACCCGGCACTAATAACCCTGGTCTACTTTCTACCCATCTAACAAGCCTCCTGTCACACTAAGATACTCCATTTCAACAAGATCCATAGTCGTGCCTGTCACTAAACAACCCTTAACTACCCTCCCCAGGTGATCAACTACGATAACCGTGACAGTCGAGTGAGTGTAATCACTGACAGAGGCTCCGTCACTAAAACGATTTTGTTGATCCACGACGCTCACGACGCGGCTACTGGGACTTACTCCTGTGTCCCTTCCCTCTCCACCACCGCCTCCGTCAGGATACATATTCTTAATGGTAAGTTTGGGGGGTGATGATTCTGAGGTTAGTGTTTGTTAGTGGTGGTGATGGCTATATGGTTAGTGTTTGTTAGTGATGGTGATGGTTATATGGTTAGCGTTTGTTAGTGGTGATGGCTATATGGTTAGTGTTTGCTAGTGGTGATGGCTATATGGTTAGTGTTTGTTAGTGGTGGTGATGGCTATATGGTTAGCGTTTGTTAGTGGTGGTAGTCATGGTTCTGTTTTTATTGTTAGAGGCTAGTACTAACTTGCTAGTGGTTAGTGATTAGTACTACTTTGTTAGCGATTGTCCTCTTTGTTAGTAATTAATATTTCATGTGGTTAGGTGCTTCCACATATTAGTGGATAGTTAGTGATGTTGTGGTAGTGAGTACTTCTTTATAAGTTGTTAGGGGACCCCTTTGTTAGTAGTTAGTGCTGATTTGTTAGCGGCTGGAACTAATTTATTAGTGGTTAATATTTATTTATGGGTTTAACTAAATTATAATAGTTAATAATTATCTCTTAGTGACTAATCACATTTTGTTAGTGGTTCATACTAATTTGTTAGTGGTTAGTCCTGCCGTCTTAGCTATTACTGCAGCTTTCTTGGCTTGTGGTTCTGCTTGTTAGTGGTTAGCTTTATTTTGTTAGAACTTAGTTCTTAGTGACTAGTTCTGCTTTCTTAGTTCTTGGTTAGCTGCTGATTCTATTTTCCTAGTTGTTAGGTCAGTTTATTTCACTTATTTTCTGGTTAGTTCTCTTTTGTTCATGGTTTGTTATGGATCGTGGTGGTTTGTCCTTTGCATTAATAGTGGTTAGTGTTGATAGACTCACACCACTCGTGGCTCAGGTGGGTGAAGGCGACACTATTCTGGCAACATTGTTCAAATGAGCCTCATCTGGAGCGCGGTGTTGCCAGATGAGCGAGATTATGCGGGTAAAATATGACAAACATTACCCTAATGCACTTCTCTCTTAACATATTTGAACCAAATGTAGCCCAAGTGGTGCTGAAGGGTCGTTTTCCCCAATATGTCGTCAACCACATTCCTAATGGGAGTATATTAGTCGCCTTCAGGGGGTATTTTGATGGTGGGGCTTGCAAGGGGTATTTTATGGCGATGTTTGGCATCCCAACTCGATGGCTGGATGGGATTGGTGCAGGATGGGTGACGTCATGCATAAACAAATCTCTGATTGGCGGAGAGTCAGTGACGGCACACACAAACAAGGCTGTGATTGGTGGCTAACCAGTGACGTCATATATAAACAAAGCATTTCATTGGTTCTTTTGCTATGACTTATAAATGCAAATAATGTATTCACTGGTTCCCCTTTCAATGTCAATTAATAAGCAAAAATGGACAAGGAATCGAACCGAGGTCCTGTGGGTGGATAACCCTACGCTTAACGACTCAGCCACGTTGGTTCCCAGGTGAGGATTTGACAGCTGCCACTTAAATGACATGTTAACCTTGTAGGGTAAAGAATTAGAAGTATCTAGACAACTATGCTGGTATATGTGTGTGTGTGAGAGAGAGAGATCATTGTCATATATGGTAACATCTGATACAACGTATCTTGGCTGTGCGGTGCAGTGTGGAACCAGCTAATCACTGAACCTTGCTTCGATTCCCTTCTGCGTACAGACTCATTAAATCACGTCTTGATCAATAGCTCCAGGCTGGGCGAAAAGTTCTCCCTATAAAATCTTGTTCTTCAACCTGTTTTTGGTTTCAAACTGGTCAAAACCGAAACCATTCCATCCACAGTGATCTAGCGAGACGTGGGATAGAGTTTGACATTGATTCACCGGTATTTATTCTGCTTAATTAGCCGAATGACCCATACGGGTTTTTGGAACTATAATCAGCTTAATTAGTTTTACAAATGTTTTTGGCATGGATTTTTAATTGCGTTGTGCATATCATTATGGTAGGAATACATCGGTGACAAATGGCGATAATTTGATAAATTAAATCCCAATAAATTCCGACAGGGCGATTTATTTTTAGTGAGATCCGTGTATATTTTGTACTGTATTTTAGCAGCAAATGTATGTCATCACAGGTCATAGAAAATACAGTAACTGCTACAGTAGAGTCTAACCTGCCTTTCTCCTTCTGTAAAGGAGAATGTATACTGCCTCTCTCCTCTGCTGTAACTGCTACAGTAGAAGAGAACCTAAACTGTTTCTATCACGACTGAAGGGAATGACTCAGTTTTCCTCTTATCATAAAATAATATTAATAATAATCATAATATGTAAATGTATAGTGCACATATATTTTCACACACACATTATATATATATATATATATATATATATATATATATATATATATATATATATATATATATATATATATATATATATATTATATATATATATATATATATATATAAATCTGGGCCCAGGTAAAGCAAAGTCAAGGATTAACATTATTGACTGCGATGAGTCTTGGTACTTATTCTTTCATTTATCTGCTGAGTCTTATCTGTGTTCTTATCTGTCTTAATATATATTATCACTGCTGTACCTTGTCTCTCTTCCACGCCGTGATCCACGGCGTGGAAGAGCTTCTACTGGAAACTAGTGACTGTGTGCTTGATAGTTGCCAATTTTATCCTCTTGTATTATGTATTGTATGTCGGAAAAGTTTAGTGTGAAAACTGGGTAGAGTCTCACAGGTTCAACTGCTCTTGTTATGTCCCTGACTTGCTGGCGTGTGAATTTTTATTTTACATTGCCACTTAAGTCTTTCAAGTGTCTAGAAATGAATGTAGTTTTCATTTATCAACAGTTTAAAGTGGAATAAATCTCAAATCTCTCTCTCTCTCTCTCTCTCTCTCTCTCTCTCTCTCTCTCTCTCTCTCTCTCTCTCTCTCTCTCTCTCTCTCTCTCTCTCTCTCTCTCTCTCCCTCTCTCTCTCTGTATCATTTCTCCCCTTCCCTGCTCTCTCTGTCCTCCTCCTCCCTGACAGTGACCTCCCACTGTCAATCTTCCCTCCACCTACACATTTCCTCCATTTGTGTATATTGATTGTGTCGCCAGGGTGCAGTGATCAAGGGGGGCGCCGCCCCGCCCCCTCTCACCTCTTCCTCGTCCCATTCATCCCTTCCCTCTTCCCTTCCCCCTGTCCTTCCTTCAACCCTCCTGCTTCCCATCCTTCTTGCCTCCCCCCCTGCCCCTCCCATCGACCCCTCGCCCCATCACCCCCTTGACCCTCTCTCAAATATTCTTCAGAAATGGTACTAGTATGCATGCAACTCATTTTATATATTTTATTTAAGTGGAGTGGTAAACCAGAATGGGTCATTCAACGCAAGGAATAGTATAGGCTTGATCCTATGTCCGCTAACAGCAAGATACGCTTTTGAAAATATTTGATATATATATATATATATATATATATATATATATATATATATATATATATATATATATATATATATATATATATATTATATATATATATATATATATATCGAGAAGTGTATGTCTCCTAGTGTATATACAAAGAGAGTTTACTTTAATCCCTAATTTAGGGATTAAGTTATTCTTAACTAGTAGTTAAGAGATGACATGTTGCCTTAATGATCCTCGTTTAGTCAGTACGTTTCATACCCAATTAACCAGACAACTTCATCCACATTCTTTCCTCGTGTTTGTCTGTGTTTTCAGGGGAGACTCCTGCAGCCATGCAAACCAACGGGGCTTCAGGTACCGTTGGAATCCTCCGTTGGTGGCAGTTCTTGGACGTCCTCACCACCACAACAGTCCCTGCTACAGCTGCTGCAGCTGCTGCTGCTGCTGTTCTCTCCTACACATTAACATTCCACCATACCTTCGTCCCAATATAGAAAATGGGTCCCTCTTTTTAACCTGTAAAAAATGATATTGGCAGTTTTCTATGAGGAGGAGTAAGTACGGTCACGATGAAGCGCAGTGATAATGAACTTGTAGGAATTCACTATTTTTCTTTATTGAAATAAGCGTGAAAATGGTAGTTTGTTTTGTTAGTTTAAGCGCTGTCCACGCTCTTCTGATCCAGTAACACACTTGTATGATTATTCGTTGGATAATTTCCCTGTATATATGAGATTAGTTACAAAGAGAGAGCATATCTCCCTAACTGAATTATTATTTTATAAGCCTGGGAGAATGCCTTGTCTATTATGCCAGTGTAGAGTGAATGATCTTCGTATTTTATTTTATAGTGTTAAATTCTTATATTTCTTTGTGTACATAACGGCTCCGGAACATTTTTAAAAAAGGAAGAAAAAAAAGCACTAGCAGTTAATTGTACAAACAGAGTTGTGTATATATAGTGACAGTTATAAAAGAAGAGAAAGTTGCTTGGAAATTTCAGTAGAGGCGTTGCACAGGGAGTGACAGGTGTCGTGGTCCTCGGTGGTTCAAGAGACAGTGACTCACAAGCTGCAGTGATCCAGCCACGGCCTCTCCACTATCAAACTTTTAGAAAAAAATGTAAGTAAAATTGTTAGAATATATTTATTTTAAAGTTTGTGGCTCCGAGCAGGTGCCGGGCTTCTAGTGAAGATTATTGAAAGAAGGTAAGATGTTCCTTCGTGTCGTACCAGCGAAGGAACCGCCTCCTGGTCGTGGATATTTTTGATGTTCGAGCCTCTAATATGAACCATTGAGTAAGCAGAAAATGTACCTCAGTTTCGCGTGTTAGTGATGAAACTGTGTTTTTTTGGGGAAAGATCAGGAAATTCCTGGTGCAGAGCCTCTATGGGTACAGAAGATGCACCTCAGAGCCGTGTAAAAAGTGTATTCTCGTAGGTGGACTTCCCAATGCTGAGACTCTAACAACGACAACTTGATAAGAGGATTTACCTCACCCTGTACTACTAAAGGGACTTTCCCCTGGTCGTCGAACTTCTTGATGCCGAGGCTCTGACAACGATCGCTTGAGAAGAGGATGTACCTCGACCCAGTACCACTTGAGGGACTATCCCCTGGCCGTCGACCTTCCTGATATTGAGGCTCTGACGAGTACCACAATGAAAGTATTGAAACAGGGTTCGATACGGTGCAAGCTAATAGTTGCCCTATAAACCGCCAACAAGAAGAAAGAGGCGTTGCCACTTTGTCTTTAACTGGCCCAACAGGACTACCTACAGCTCATCTGCCGACTTATAAAAATCCACTTACAATTTAACCGCCTCTGTACAGAGCCACTTTCAGCTCTGTCAACCTACAGGAAAAATGGCAGAGGTAAGACACTCCTCACACCATCACTGACGAGTCGTCAAACTTAACTTTCAATATATCAATAAAACGAACAATAGGTTTATTGTATTGTGAGTGGACATAACTTTTGACTTATTAAGGTCAATTTTAAAGATTCATGTTCAACAGAATCATTCAGCACTGAAGGTGTTGAGTTTTTGATGGTGTTCAAATGTGAATTAGATCTTACCTCAGCTGAAATGTTCAACAAATTGAATTAATACATTTCAACAAGGGTTTCTTTACTTCTCAATATCCAACATGAACTTTTGAGAACATACCCAACCGATCCTCTCCGTTGTCAACTGTTCAATAACTTTCCGTTGACGTTCGCTAGATCCCATTCAACTGAAGAATTCAAACGCGAGCCTTGAGCTGTCCACTGAGTTTCCAGTAGTGTTCTCCAGCCCGTGTAACTATCCAACCACGAACTCTCCTGTATTCTCCAGCCCGTGTAACTATCCAACCACGAACTCTCCTGTAAGACTTCCGTGTTTTCTCTCAATTATCTGCAAAAAAAAGAGTTGAATAAAGTGAAAACCCGCGCGAGTACTAGCGTGATCAGTGTGTGTGGCACAAGGCATTAAAACTGATGTGGAACGGGAAATTCTTAACAGGGTCATTCCTGAAATTCCCATACATGTATGGTAAGTTAACTGAAGATGTGTGTACAGTTTTTTCAGTTAACAGTGATGGTGTAGAGAAAGAGAGAGACAGAAAGAAACTGAAAGAGAGAGAAAGGTCCTACCACAGTAATTAATGTATACCAGCTCGCGTCAGTTTAACATCTCATGGCTCCAAATGTTGTACCGTCGACAACAGTGAAGAACAGACACACGTTGGAGAACAAGCTTTTGATGTGACGACGTTTCGCTTCTCGTAGAGCTTCACGCCACGACAAAGCTCTGCACAGAACTTTACCGTGGGTTCATAAAACTCTACGCTGAGAGAAAAGTTGGCCTGATTCTGGCCTGTTGTACAACATGTCTGCTTCACTTCCATTTTTTGCTGTTTCAATATTTATCAGAATAAAACTCTACCGTGTAACGCACGTCTCTGCCGTGTGACGCACGAATCTACCGTGTGACGCACGTCTCTGCCGTGTGACGCACGAATCTACCGTGTGACGCACGGCATTTTTTTTTTTAGAGTACCTGTTCATTCCTAGTCGTTGTTTCAGTAACCGTAAGTTAGCTGTGAACTTTGTATATGAAGATAATAAAGTTTTTTGGTAATATACTCTATTTTGCATCCTCTGGTATGTCTATATGATTTTTTTTTTTGCTGTTTCTTTATGATAATCCTATCATAGGTCAACCTAATTAGCATAAGGAAAATCCATCAACTTCGTGATGAAGTTTATGAATGATAATGAATTTCCAATCGATTTGTTGGGCGAAACGATCGAAGCTGAGCGAACTGAGCCAGCAAGCTGAGCCTGATAAAGCTTGACTTATTTTAGATATGTATTGACTTAAAAATCATACAAATCAGATTTATGTCTTACGCTACCTATAACTCATCACGCGTACTTACGGTGTAAGACTGGGAGAGTGACTCGTCAGAGATCATAGTCATAAATCCGGGTTATTGGAAAGACGTGTGTCAGGGTTGTGTGATGGATGTGTTGTGTGTGTGTGTGTGTGTGTGTGTGTGTGTGTGTGTGTGTGTGTGGACACTGCTACCACCTTCTGCCAGACATGTGGAGTGAATATGAGTCTAGGAGGGTGGATATGTTTGTCAGGTGGGGGCGTCGCGCCCGACAAACCTGACCACAAGGGGAGCGTCGCCCCAGATGTGGAGACAATAGAATAATAATGAACAATAATAATAAAATTGTTGTAATAATAATAATAATAATAATAATAATAATTATTATTATTATTATTATTATTATATTATTATTATTATTATTATTATTATTATTATTATTATTGCAGAAGTAATAATAATAAAAATAATAAAAATAATAATAATAATAATAACAATAGAAATAATTATAATATTAATACTAATAATAATAATATATTAGCAATGTTACCAACAAGTGTTACAAAAAATAGATATAGGCAGTAAATTATAATAATAATTAATAATAATTTAAGCAGCGCTGTATAAATCTCAAGGGTTTAACGCTTCATTATGATTATAATAATAATGATGATGATGATAGTTTAAGTAGTTGTTTTTTCTGTGTTAGAAATTAAAACAGAAGTTTGTGTAAATCGACAGAACTGAAGTGATTATGATCGTCGGTGTTACAGAGTCTTAGGAAGTTTTACAAAGAAATGAAAACAGAATTTAAAGAGGAAAAAAAAAAAAAAAAAAACACTCGTGGTGGCAAACGAACAAATTTTTTCCCCAATGTGTTTGTTTCTGGAAGTTTGTTTCTCTCTCTCTCTCTCTCTCTCTCTCTCTCTCTCTCTCTCTCTCTCTCTCTCTCTCTCTCTCTCTCTCTCTCGATCTATCTCTTTCTCTCCTTCCATCCCTCGCCCTTTCTCCATTATCTCCTCATTTATTACGTATTCTCTTCCTGTCATTCTCCCTTCCCAGGTAATATTACAGTAAATCTTCGAGTAATCAGCTTACGAGAGAGAAGAGAAAGGAGAAGAGAGAAAGAGAGTAGAAGAGAGAATGGAAGAAGAGAGGATAAGAGGATAGATTAATGCTAGTGAAGGGCTCTTGATCTGGGAATTGGAGGGATACTCCCCTTCCTCGGATCAAAACCATATTATCTCTCATTTCACAGGTGTCGTATTGCCCATGAGTGCTTAGCGTTTCTTTGTGAATAATAATAATAATAGTAATAAGAATAAGAATAACAACAATAAGAAGAAGAAGAACCAAGCAGCAATAAGGATTCCTGGCAACCCTCTGGGGACGACTGTCATGGCGGATATTTATGATTGGACAGTATTCCACCAATACCCGTCAGAGCAGCGGACACCCAGACACCTGATTGGTTAATTCAAAGTGACGTCATAAACTGGAAGGCTAATCAGGAAAGGAAAAAATGGCAAGGAAGAGATCCGCGTCTAATATTGGCCGGATTCGGTACGGCGTAACCTGTCAGTGGCCCTATGAACCACAACAAGCAGTTTAACATTTGTAGATGTGTGTGTTAGAATAGGTTAATTTATCATAGGTTGATGGTGATGAAGGTTAATTCTTAGAGAGAAAATGGACAGAGAGAGGGTGATAAAAAGAGAGATAGTCTGGGGGGGGAAGAAGAAAAATATTAGAAACAAGATATTCCTTACCTGCATAATAGAGACAATGTTCAGAGTAGATCTTTAATTACAGGCTACGTTTAGCTCTAAAGAGAACTTGGTAAGGCTCTGTTTAAAACACTAGTCATGCTAAACATGACTCTCAAGCCAGTACAAGGAATTCTGAGACAAATTATATACACAGAGAGGAGAGAGAGATGGTGAGATAGCGTGACGGCTGTAGTGGTGAGAAGTGTGAAGACAGTCACCAAAAGTGTAGAGGTGTAGGTTGTCACTTTGTATATGTAAGTGTAGGTTGCCATCTGTACCCAGCATTGTGTTCGTGGGATATGGATTTACCATTTTAAATGCACCCTGCTTCTGTTCTGTGGTGTTGGCGACTTCCAGTCATTGTCTGCAGGTCCTGTCGTTCTCCTCAGTGAGAATTTTTTTCAGATGCCCAATCCATGAGCAACCCATGTGTGTGCCCGGCCCATGATCTGCTCACCCATCCCATTATAAATAAAACATACAATGTAATAAGAAAGCAAATGACTGCCAACACCCTGAGCAAAGTGGACACCTCAAGACATTTTGCTCCTTGGACCTCGATCATTTTTAAGCATATGTATTTGAAGCGATCAAGGTTCATAAATAGGAACTTCTCCAATAAAGGTGTCCTAAGGGAAGGCATTCGTAACCATTTCGCTTATACATACGTCGCTAAGAAGTTGTGAGTTTGTGTTGGAGAATACTAGCGTTAAGTTTTCGGCAAGTTTCTCCAATATACAGCAGATATTTCTTACCAGACAATAGCTGGCCTGTTAAGTAGCTTATAGTTGTTAGAGTGATGATGGGTATATTAGTTTCTCTCTTCTACACTGCCTCCTCTACATTAGAGGGCCTCCTCTACAGTAGAGTGCCTCCTCCACAGTAGAGGGCCTCTTCTATAGTAGAGTGCCTCCTCCACAGTAGAGGGCCTCTTCTATAGTAGAGTGCCTCCTCCACAGTAGAGGGCCTCTTCTATAGTAGAGTGCCTCCTCCACAGTAGAGGGCCTCTTCTATAGTAGAGTGCCTCCTCTACAGTAGAGGGCCTCTTCTATAGTAGAGTGCCTCCTCTACAGTAGAGGGCCTCTTCTATAGTAGAGTGCCTCCTCTACAGTAGAGGGCCTCTTTATAGTAGAGTGCCTTCTCTACAGTAGAGGGCCTCCTCTACAGTAGAGGGCCTCCTCTACAGTAGAGGGCCTCTTCTATAGTAGAGTGCCTCCTCTACAGTAGAGGGTCTCCTCTACAGTAGAGGGCCTCTTCTATAGTCGAGTGCCTCCTCTACAGTAGAGGGCCTCCTCTACCGTAGAGGGCCTCCTCTATAGTAGAGGGCCTCTTCTATAGTAGAGGGCCTCATCTACAGTGGAGAGCCTCTTCTATAGTAGAGGGCCTCCTCTACAGTAGAGGGCCTCTTCTACAGAAGAGGTCCTCTTCTACAGTAGAAGTCCTCTTCTACAGTAGAGGGCCTCTTCTACAGTAGAGGTCCACTTCTACAGTAGAGGTTCTTTTCTACTGTAGAGGTCCTCTGCTACAGTAGAGGGCCTCTTCTACAGTAAAGGGCCTCTGCTACAGTGACGTTTCCCAGTGATCAGAATCAAATGTAATGGGATGAGAACCGGGAGGCTTTGAGCCGAGAAAAAAAAAATAACAGGAGTAAATCCCCGGTTCCTGGTATCGAGAGCCTCTCCCTCCACGAGAATTAGGCAGACTTAAAAAAAATAGATTGTCAATCGTATTCAAAAATCAATAATTAATATTCTTCAGGAGAGTGATTAGCGCAACTTCTGGCGAGAGGATGGACGAGACAGATTGATGATGGATTGTAAATGAATGTGTCAGCGGCAGAATGAACATGAGGAGATCTCCAGGAAGTAGTACTGGAAAAAATGGTATATACATTGAAAGGGGTGTTTCTCTCAGTGTATATACTCAGAGAAGTTGGTTTCTCTCGGTGTATATACACTGAGAAGTGGGCTTCTCTTAATGTATATACACTGAGAAGTGTGTGTCTCTTTCTGTGTATACATACTCATAGATGTGTACCTCTCAGAATATATACACAAAAAAGTATCAGTGTATATGCAATGATAGGCGTATATCTCTCACTATATATACACTCTGAGAGGTGCGTATCTCCGAATATACACACTGAGGGGGTGAGCATTTCCCAGTGTATATACACAGAGAGAATATACTTTCCTCCATGTTGCAGAGATTAAAGTAAGTCTGACTTGTAGTGTACATGAGAGATGTATTCTGAATGACTATTATTAAGTCGATAGGTTTTAAACCCACTTAACCAGTCGGTAAACAACTCAACAAAACAAACAAGAAACCAAACGAGAATCTAAACAGGAAACCAAACAAGAAGCCAAACAAAAAACTAAACAAGAAATCACACAAGAAACCAAGCAATAAACAAGACAAGATAAATTCTCTTACGTGTAGGCCGGGCAAACAGTACGTAATACTCTCCCCTCCAAGCCACTTTGATCCGAGGAACTGGAGTCGTCCCTTCTCTTTCCGGAATTAAACCTGATTATTGCCTTCCATTCCCTCCCCCTTGCGCTGAATGACTCCTACGGGGCTAGCGCTTCACATTGTATCTAAGAATAATAATAATATAATTATTATTATTATTGATGATAATAATAATAATGAAATAATAACAATAATAATAAAATAATAATAGCAATAACAACAGTAATAATAATAATAATAATAATAATAATAATAATAATAATAATAATAATAATAATAATACACGAGTAGAGGTCAAAATATAGAGAATTATGATTAAATTTCCTCTTCGGCTTCTCAGTGAACCTTTAATCCAGATGCCGAGTTACCATGATGGTGAGAGAGAGAGAGAGAGAGAGAGAGAGAGAGAGAGAGAGAGAAGAGAGAGAGAAAGAGAGAGAAAGAGAGAGAGAGAGAGAGAGAGAGAAAGAGAGAGAGAGAGAGAGAAAGAGAGAGATCCACT